TCTACTATTACGATTAGGAATATGCTCCTCCTTCAAATACCCAGGCACCTGATGGTTTGGTAAGTAGAAGGAAGAGAAGCAATCCGCATGGTACAGTTTCAGGAAGTATTTTTGGCAAAGCAATCAAACCTTAGTCAAGAACAATAAGCACGCACCAGCAGATTCTGCAGACCAACCAGACAACAAAAGACTACTGAAAATAAGAACCTGGACAATACCAGGTATTCACTAAGAAGCTTTCAACATAAAGGTGCCAAAAGGTTGAGAGGACCCAAAATGGCAGTTACTTTTCTACCCATTCAATGAATACAACAAAGCCCAAATACAAAGGTAATAACACCCTAAACCAAGGCTGTTTACACTGTGCAAGTAGAATTCCTTCATTTCAAAGTCTTTCAAAACTTTTTTAAAAAAAAAAAAAAGGTTCCTTTACCTTATTGTGCCTCTAAACCCACATTTGTCCATTGACACTCAGAACCCTGATTTTCTCACATTTAGGCTCCAATTCCATAAAGTTTTCTAGTATGTCATAATTGCTATGCTGCACAGGTACTTTTTGCCAAGTAACCAGTTAATCCCAAAATTGAGAGGCAAATAAAAAAGCCCTAATCAATAGAAGAAACAGTATTAGCATAGCATTCTTTGTGATCTTCCAAAAAGTGATTTTTAATCAGTTGCCATCTTGCAACTTTATTATAAAGTCACAATGAGCAGGAACTCCGTCACAAGCAACTTCACCCAAATAAAGATGTTTTCTATCCCATTCACCATGTGCAATGCTTCATTTTTTCATTTTCAGAAAGCCACTAATCTCTCATTAACTGCACATTAGCACAGACTAGTGGTCATAATTCACCACTGCAATTACATATAATAAAATTAATACACTCAAAAAACGTTGTGCTATCAAAACCAGAGATCTATTTCTTAAGGATACTTCAAACAACTTGTCATCTTTCTACATACACATTTTACTATCACAGGCCTTTAATTTGGTCACATTCTGATTTGGCTTCCTTCTCATAAAATACTTAACAGTACCAAAATACTTTTCTACCTGTGGAGCAGAGTGGTGCAATAAATACAAGCACATTGTAAAGCATCAAGAAAAAAATTATATCTAAAATGAAAGAGACAACTTACAGTATATACTGAGTTTGAAGTATCAGTGGGTTTTTAACAAAACTAAAGTCTTTGACCATTAAGAATGTAGTTTTCCATAATCTGGAATACTACACATCGGCCTCATCTAGAAAAGTGTATTAGAAATTTTAGAAGCGTTATTTTAGAAATACTTCATCACTTGCTCATTCTTCTGTATTTCACGAAAGCCAAAATACCTATGGCTTTCTGAAGTGCTGTACCATTTTGTTTTGCTTTTTTTCCTAAAACGCAAATGACATTGACTGAAATTACCTCAGTGAAGATGGGTCTTGCAGTTCTAAAAACAGACATGTTATATTCTCCTGATTTTTAAGTATCTCCTATTGGTCAACAGTCCTGAGAAGTAACCTCTCTGATTCCAAACCAGTATTCCAAGTCAAGGCTGTATTCAAATCAATGGAAACAGCAACACAAAAGCTGGCATCTTCTTGCCCATCATTTCTCACCACTTAAGCAGCCTCTGGAGGCATGCTAGGCACCTCACAATTCAGAGAAGTTGTAAAATACAGCACGTACAGCATTTAATTAAAAATAGGGCTGAAATAATGGACTCAGTTAAAAGGCAATACTTTATCTCAAAAACTATTACCAGGTAGGAAGATTTAATCTGGGGTCTTTTGCTAGTAAGAATACCAGTTAGTAGGCACCAGTTACTGTGTTAGCTTCCACTGCTTGCTCCTGAAGACTAAACTTAAATTGTAAGTGAAATTCAGTGAAACCAACTGGTGAGTTTGTCACTAACATCCATGTCAGACTTATTCTTCTGCAAGTATTATGAATTATTTCAGAGCTAACTAATTTGAAGTGAAGACTAAGAGTTTTGTACTTAGAGAAACTAATTTTCTTTACTTCTGCAAATTTTATAATTGAGAAATCAACTTTCATGTTCCGCATGAAGAAATTTCCATTACGCACACTTGTAGAAAGCCGCACTAAGCACAAAGGGCGCAGCTTCTACTTAATATGAAACTTAAAAAGATGTATTTCATACATCCCTTAAAAATGTAAATTGTCTGGGGAACTGAGATCAGTCTTGTCTAGCAGCAATCTGAGGGCATGACTGGAAAATATTACCTATGTAGCATTTCAAAGTGAATTTAATGCATCTATCAAGTACTGAGTAAACTCAATAAAACAAGCTTCTAGACAAAGTGTTATATTAAATAAGTCTCAGTTTCTCAGCCCACATGAGATTAATAGTACAAATGTTAAATGAAACTGTAAATTTTAGCCATAAACTCATAATACAAAATTAAATCAGTATCTGTGCCAGAACTAAATCAGTTGTGCACCACATGAAAGTTTCATTTAAAAACACATAAACTACTTGCGCTTGGACTACTCTACCTAGAATTCAAAGAATATTCAGGAAGTTTTACTAATGTGAACAGACAGCTTCAATCCCTTGTCTGCTATTAGAAAAATAAAGAAACGGAGAGTACTTCAGCTTGTCACTCAAGAGCAACTCACTAAAAGAAATTAGGCAGTCTTAAGTAAACTGGCTGCTATCATCTAATGCACACAGACTGTGTAGGACAGTTCTCACCTTTCAAAAGGTAAGCCAGAACAGAACTGACAGTAAATATTTTTAATTAACATCCATTAATCCTTTCCTTCCCAAAAAGGAAAAGACAGAATGTGAAAATTGAAGAACTAGTACAAGATGTCACCTCAACCTCAAGTTTTCTCTTGTGATAAGAAACAGATAATGCAGAAGTATTTCTGTGATAAAAATCAAGTCTGAACAAGTTTCTAGAAAATATAATTGTTTGACCACTTTCAATGACATATGGGACAAAAAAATACCCAAATGAAACATGTCCTTTCATTTTCCCAAATGAAAAAAGTCCCATCAATACGCATGAAAAAAATCTCATAATTTGCATTGGTTTCTATGTTACCTACTTGAATACACAGTAGCCTATCTGGTAAGGAAACTAGCTTAGGAAAACTATTTATGACAAAGCTACCCGAGATCAAATGCTTCCTACAGCAGTAACTGTAACTTGGAAGCTTTTTCAGGAAGGCTCTCAATTTGACCAGTTCTGACAAAACCACAGAAACCATTTCAGCATAGAAAAGAAACACTGAGAACAGCATCAGCAAAACATACATGACACTGGCTTAGAAAGCACGTGAAAAAAAACACACAGCCCTCAAACATTCTGTTGTACCAGATACGCGATATCCACACTATGCTTGCCTTGGGGGGCTCATTTTGGTTTAGCTGTAGTCTGGTCTTGAGGACTGAATGCCCCCTAGTACTGGAGCACACTTCTGGTTAAGTGTTTTCCAAAAGAAATCCAGCTTGTGTACTCAGAGCACTCTGCAATGCAACACAAAGCATCGTAAGTGGGAACTACCGAGAGATTTGCTTCAAAAGCACAGTTCTGTCTGACCTAAAAATGCTGATGTGGAAACATCTTCTAAATTTTTTTTTTTTTTTATTTCTATTTATAGATGACTATACACTTCAATGAGATGAGCAGATGAAAAATAAGACATACGGATACTACTACTAGAACTTACAGTTTAATCACCTCCCTACTTGTATTAGGGGTGGGGGATGTGTCTCCTCCCTTCCTCTATTCTACTCCACCACAGCTCATCCATAGAATGGGTGTGAAGAAACTGCATTTAAGATGCTAAGAGCAGAGACCTGCTCTGACCAACACAGAAGAATGTGAACAGGCAGAGGTCTGATAAAAACTGATTTGACCCACAGTGAAGTTAAGCACCCTAAATAATATTCACTTCAAGCAAAAATAGGTTTTCAACAATAAGCACTAATGCTGTCCTGTTTAACTTAGAGATATATTGAATACTAACAAGGGTCTGACAAAATAGAGATGTAAAAAGGAATCAGTAAAACTTAAATGCTTCAAGAGAAAAATTTTGTATTGTAGAAACTTTGACATTTGAGCCATCTTTTACTTTCAGTAAACAATTAAAGTAAAAGCATTTTAAAGCTTTCATTTCCCTGATCTCTACCAGAACTTTTGATATGCTTGTGCCACATTATGTTACTTTTCAGTATATGGCTACTTAAGACTCTTTGACCAAAATTAAGTTAGGTGTTCCACATTTGTTCCAGATGTTTACCATTTACAACATTTTCTCCTATAAGTTTTCCTTGGCAAATTTATTTTCCACTATATTGATGCTGCACAATACAGTTCCACACTAGATATCTAGTTACCAGTATAATGTCATGCAGAGATACTAACTACAGTACCTGACAAACAAAGCTGATCATGGTGCAGGTATGACCATACTGACTCCAGCTGTGGAGCCAGTGTGGCCAGAAAGAGTTTGGGTGCCTCTACAAGCCACTGCATTGCATAACAGAGAAATCTTTCTGTTCAAAGCTCAGTTAGAACAGATTTTTCTTTAAAAAAACTACCATAATTAAAAACATGTTCTAAACCACAAGTTTCTTCCCCTGCTAATATTGATGCAACATCAAAACTCTCAGATTATGCTCTCAAAAATAACAATACAGAGTTTGTATCTCTTCATAAAACATGCTTCTTAACCAAATCACACTTGTCATTCTATACATGCTAGCAAGCAAACTTCTACACTTCAGTTCTCTATCACTGTGTTTATCAAAACCTTAAGGAGGGATTTCAGGTTCCCTTCAATTTGAACTACAGAATCAAAAATCTTCTACTAATCCTTATTCAATTTGCTATTATTAAAATCTTTTATAAATTTTATCATATTCTTGTAGTTCTAGAAAATGAACATCTTATTTTAAAAACCCTTTGTCATTCCAGGACACTTAGCTCTATGTAACAATGCAAACACTGCTGTGGTACATTGTGTCACATTACCTCAGAAACATTTCGAAGTGTTTTACTAAAGCCTTTAGGTTTTTGTCAGGAAAGCACATCTTCCCCAGTATTTCTGGTAGCTTTACTGTAAATAAGAGAAATAATGTTTACACCTGTTCTTTTACAAGCAACTTCTAATTACTTTTATCCACTACACAGAAAAGCAGAATATAAACATTTCTCCTCCCTGCAGCCTCCACTTTTCTTTGCAAGTTACTCAGTGATCTTTCAAAACCTTACTAAAAAGAAACATGCTGAGAAAGTGAATGCTGCTTGGTTTAATGACGTTTGACAGCGCATTGGAAGTAATGCTTGTTTACTTCTGTTAAATGAAGGCTTACAGAGCCAGTAAGAGATAAGCAATTTATGAACAGCCTAAGAGTTTTAAACAAATTAATACGTACACTTCTCCAAGAATAAAACTAAATGTGATAAAGCAAACAGAAAATCACATGGATATGGCACAGAAAATAAAAAAAAAAACCAAAACCAACACCACCACCCAACAAAAAGCACCCCTAAAAAAAACCAAAACCAAAAGACCAACCAAACAAACAAAACCCAAATAAAGCAATTTCGATTCAGCACAGAATTTTGCATCAGTTTACCAAACATCCGTAGCAAATGTTGAGATCCATAGATATATGAGGGAGGTGGTGGCTGATCACTTGGTGGATAATTCTCTGGCATCAATTTCCAGGACAAAACCTAAGCATAAGACATGAAAATGTTGGTTATAAAATCTTTATAGCACCATAAATAATTTAGTCTGTGCAGAACTTCAAAATCAAAGATGAAATAAGTAATATAAACAAAACCTTTTCTTACACAGCCCTACTCTGAGGTCAACGAAACTCTTAATCACTGAATCTAGGATAGTAACATAAAAATTTGTTACCTCATTCAATTCATTGTTTCTTCTCCCTTCAAAGCCAGTAAAAACTGCACTCCCCTCTTTGCTAGGAGTCAAAGTTATAGGTGAAGATGATCCACTATGGACAGGGGTTTCTTCAAACGGGAAGGAAAAACAAAACAAATTAGCAATAAGTTTTATTATCTGTTTTATGGAACTGTAAGCCATTAAACATAACTAAGGCCTGCTGCTATAATGTTTAAAGTCTTAAACACTGGAATTCAATAAATGTTATCCTAAAGCAGGCTCACAGAAAAGCAGCTCCTTGAATTCTGTTGAGAAATACAGTACCAAAGTACTAAGAATACTGCTTTGTATTTCTCCCTTCAGTATAAGCTTCAGAGATAAATAATTGATACAAAAAGTAATTAATTCCTACTTCAATCACTCAGTTCACCATCCAGATGACATTAAAAAAAAAGAACAAGACTTAAAATCTTGTTTAGAGCAATAATTTAAAGAGCAAAACCTACTTTTTTCCAGGTGCAAGAAGAGCTTTGGCATAGAAGCTGGGGTCTCAAGATGCCGTCGTTTAGGTTGCGGGGAAGCACTGCTTTCCGATAACCTGTCACAGTTAGAGCTATGGCGCGTAGAACGTCTCAGCGACTGCAGAATTTCCGGTTCAGCTTTTCGTCTTTTTGGCGTGGCTGGCTCCCCTGTTGTAGGCTGGCTGTCAGTTGACTGAGGCGTTGGTGGATTCAACAGAGGAGGACTTGGGGAAAGCTCCTCCTGATTTCTAGGAAATAAAGGCAGCTTTACAGAAGTGGAGAGATCAGGGCTCTTCTCCCAAAAGAGATCATTCTAGTTCCATAATCTTGTTAAATACTTACTCAAATGAGACAGTTTCCTCTCAATAACTACCAAAGTGATGAGGCCTCCTTTTAAATAGTTTTCCAGAAGCAGATTTATTTTCAAATTTAAAAGTTAATGAACACAAATTTACATTTCAATGTAAATTTTTGTCCCCACAAAGTTGCAGCATAACTCTACACCAGTCAGTACAACCCCCTTTTGAAGTTAACCAGACAGAAATTCAGAACCTGAATTCTGAATTCAGGCAAGCAATTCACAGAAAAGTTCAGCATTTTATCAAGACAATTTTTTAAGTCAAAGTCTGTGAGAAATCATCCTATTCTGAACACATAACCACATTCTATTGCATTTTCCTCAGGAGATAAGCAGTATTAGACTCCGTATACCCAACCTACCTGTTAGTATTTGTTGAGTTTTCTTTGATGGGAAGAAAGAATTTTGATGAAGTCACCTTCTTAAATTGAGCTTGTTCATAAGGATAGAGCAAAATTAATGGAAGTGTGAAGTCAAAGGTTATTCTCAGCCCATCTACCATCTCTTTACATAGCTCAACACTAGAGGAAAAAAAAAAAAACCCCAAGACATTATGAATTTCAAAGTTCCATGTCAAAATTTTTCAGTGTAGTTGTAGGAAATTCCCTTTTAATACAGATCACCAACATCTTAACTATGATACGCTGACTTCATCACTAAGTAAAGTGATTAAAAGCATACTTAAAGAAACAGTGATTGCTGTTGGTAACTTCAAACGAATACAAATTTTAAAAGTCTGCTTAAAAAGGTCAAACACAATCATACAATTATTCCATTGTATTGCTATTTACTGGATTAATAAAATCTACTTTACAGTAAATAAAGTTAGTTAGTTTTTCATGGAAGCATTATTTTGTTTTTTCCAAGTTTACTAGGCTCAAAAAAAGAAGCACCTGCCAGAAAAAGTAAGTACTTACTAGACTGAATCTCTGTCTAAAAGGCATATGCAGAATTTGATCTATAGCCTCTAAGATGTGGCTAAGGCTGTGCTTAAGAGATATCCAGTGAATCAACAAAATCAGATACATTTGCATTGGAGATCAGTTTCCAATGGCCTGCTCCTGGTAACCGAAGCACTACATTTAGAGGCTACTAGGAATTTCAGGTTTGGGCTTGTGTAAAAGACTCACGGTACTAAGCGGTGAGTAGATGTGCTGTTACAAGCAGAACCAAGAACACTGAGTCCAGCCCATCTCCAACACCTCTCACCTCTATGAAGGTATTCATCTCTCATGCCTCAAGTGCATATATATGTATGCTAACAGTAATTTGATTCTGCTACAATGACCCACGTTAGAAATTCCATACCTCCTATGACCATTCCACACCACTTGCTAAAACTATGCGCTTTTTTTTCCTGTTTTTAAAACACTATATATAAAATGGGTCAGGGGACCACCACGTGCAGAAATTCTATCCCATCCAAGAAGGTCAATTACCTTCTGTGTTAGTGCAGTAAGGGCAATACAAAAAAGTTGTCAGCTGAATCTCTCCTACTTAACAGATCACTGAAATTATACGTAAATTCCTTATTAAAACACCTTCATTACTGAGAAAGTCATGTAGATACATGCACCTTTAAAAATCATAATATGCATACAACCTTCTGTTTGTATTTCTGATGTCTCATCTAACTTCTTGTTTGGGAGATTATATTACAAAGTAGGAAAGTATCATTAATCTGTCAAATAATGAATGACATCAATATAAACCACGACACTCACATAGACCAAAATATTGCAAGGAACAGCATAATTATGCACTATTGAAGTAGAACATGGTAACAAAAGACAAGATTTCTCTTCATTAAAATACAAGATTTCACCCCAGCGTAGACCTAGGTAAAGAATCAGTCTCATCTAATATTGAGAATCTTTAGCATAAGAGAAAAAAAACAACCAACCAAAAAAAGCTACAATGCAAACACGCAGGGTGAACACACTGCATTTGTAGCATGGTAGAAGAATATACAGCCTAGCTGAGAAAACAGCAGCTAAGATGCAACCAATTTTAATAAACAGGACCGGTGTTACTACACACATTGTTTCCCTACGTATTGACTCCAGGATTTAAGATATGTCAATTCGGGGGGGGGG